TATGTATTATCTCGTTGCGAAAGTCAGTATTGCGTTGCAAAATTAAGTATCGAGTTACGAAAGTCAGTATCGTGTTGCGATTTTGTATTATCGCGTTGCGATAGTCAGTATCGCGTTGCGATTTTCCAAATTCGCATTGCGATTTTCCAAATTCGCATTGCGATTTACTTATTCGCATTGCGAATTGGGAAAATCGCAACGCGAAATTGGAAAATCGCATTGCGATAGTCATAATCGCGTTGCGAATCTGGAAACTGATTTGCGATAATGGAGATCGCGTTGCGAATTAGCGATCGCATTACGATTTTGTTGGTCATTTTGGCAAATCCGGAAAAAATTGGTTAAAATCGTATATTATATGGGATTTTTTTTCACTGAAATTATTTTCTCAATTAATAATGTACGTGAAGGTCTTGTGGTCCCAACTCCCAAACCTCATTGGGACCAGTTCCGTCAATGTCGGCAGGCGTTTGATTCATCCCCGTTGGATGAAATTGTACTGTGGGTTGTGGCGGTTGCTTTCTTTTCTTTAATTTTCTCCCACAACCAATGTATGTCTTTTCTCCTTTAGCAAGTATCTTGCTATGAGTGGTGTGGACGCAACATGGTTTTCAGAACCGGATTGGTTAGCGAATCGGTCATATTATTGATTCATTGGTTTAATCGATCGAATCGGTTTGATTGATCGAAAGAATCGGACGACGTCATAATTATTTAAAAAATTAAATAAAAATATCAAAAATATTTAATAAAAAATAATTTTTTATATCACATGTCATATTCAAAGCAAGTCATAACATATATAAGTTAAAAACCATAAAATCAAGTGAAACAAAATGATTCAAATTAACTACAACATAATAATTAAGGTAAAACATATTAAATAATAAATATAATTATACAACTATAATTAAAAAATAAATTTGGGGCTAAAAAAATCATAACAAAATAATATTTTTTGTTTAATTTTTTTTAAAAACAATCCTACATGGTTAAGAAACATAGAAGAGCATCCCAAAAGTCTAAAGAGTAAAAATATGAGAACAAAACAATCTCACATGGCTAAGACACATAGAAGAACATCCCAACTAACTTCTATAAATAATAGAGGTAATTTGGCATTCAAAATCATTGAGCCTTTTGGTGAGCATTGAGTGAACTATTCTTTCACTTCAATCAAGCTCGAATTTTAGGCTTCAATCGAGCTTCTAAATTTTTTTTGAGTTCAAGCTTTTTCGAGTTCAAGTTTTAATATTATATTTCGAGTTCGAGTTGAACTTGATAATTTTTAGCTCGTGAGTTTGAGTCGAGTTGAGCTTACTTTTAAAGTTTTCAAGTTCGAGTCGAGCTCAGCAATACTCGGGTTTTTCCCGGTTTTCAGCGGTCCGATTTAAATGGTTCAGTAGTTCCGATCGGTTCACTAATAGCGGTTTAACCGGTATAGATTGAACTGAACTAAATAGTGATTCTCGATTGAACCGACCGATCCGATCCGGTTTTCAAAACAATAAGACACAGCTCTCCATATTCCATAAGATGTTTTACCCTTCCCTATATGATTTAATCACCAAATGTATTTGTCATTTCATTGGGTAATTTAGTTTCATGGTTTTGTTGACGGAGACCCACCTTCCCACTCGTTTAATCTCCAAGTTTTAGTGTAAAGGGAGCGCCACAAGAAAGAGAACTTCGGTTGTGCGGTGCCTAAAAATCGACTAAAAAATGGTGTGACCTGTTAAATAAGTAATCGGTTAAAATTTAGATCGGTTATGTTATATCATTTAACCAGAAATATTATCAAGTACAATAATATATTAGGTAGCGCTTATATAATATAATAGGTAGCGTTTATATTGACATATTTTCTAACTAAACAGGTATATTTAAACCGGTAATATTATAAATTTACCTATTACATTATAATTATCGGTTTTGATGTTTTTGGGATTGATACAATTTTAATATATCGACACTTTATGCGTGCACTTCGTTGTGCTTTCATTTTGGGAAAAAAGTATCGACACATATTTAAAGAGTGTTGATACATAATGTAAACCTATTTGCTAATTAATCAGTATATTTTTGCCGGTTACATTGTAAATTTACCTATTACATAATAATTATCGATTTCGATGTTTTTTGGATCGACACTTATGCGTGCACCAGTTTGAGTTCTTCAATCAACAGTTTCAATGGCACAAAATCCTAACCAAAAAAATAAAACTAAAATTGGCCTAACTTTATCCTATAGAGATAATAAGAGTATATCATAAATTTGCGTTGAGAGATGTCTGTTTCTGGGTTTTTGTTCTTTGAGAAACTGATAACATGGTGAGTTTCCCAATGTTACTCTTTTGTTACTGCAAAGTTTTTGCTCTTTTCTTACTGAGTTTTGCTTAAAATATCAAATTTTTTGTAAAAATGAAAATTCTGAAATAAAAATGACCACACAAACACACTTTTTTACTATCGGTTTTGCCATTTCGAGATCGATTTTGTCATATTTTTACATGTTATATTATCATGGATCGATACATTTTTATAAAGTATCGATATTTTATTGGCGCTATAACTTCTTTTCTTTTAAATTCCAAAAGTGTCGATACTTATAATAAAGTATCGACACTTTCAACATATCTGGTAGCTCTTTACTGGTTTTGTCATTTTGAGACCGGTTTTGTCATATATTTACCTGTTATATTGTTATGGATCGATACATTTTTATAAAGTATCGACACTTTATTAGCGCTATAACTTCTTCTCTTTTAAATTCCAAAAGTGTCGATACTTATAATAAAGTATCGACACTATCAACATATCTGGTAGCGCTTTACCTGTTTTATCATTTATAAACCGATTGTGTCATTTTTTTACCTGTTATATTGTTATGAATCGATACATTTTTATAAAGTATCAACACTTTCAATATATCCGGTAGTGCTTTACCTGTTTTGTCATTTATAGACCGGTTTTGTCATTTTTTTACATGTTATATTGTTATGGATCAATACATTTTTATAAAGTATCGACACTTTCAATATATCTGGTAGCGCTTTACCTGTTTTGTCATTTATAGACCGGTTTTGTCATTTTTTTACATGTTATATTGTTATGGATCGATACATTTTTATAAAGTATCGACACTTTCAATATATCCGGCAGCGGTTTACCTGTTTTGTCATTTATAGATCGGTTTTGTCATTTTTTATCTGTTATATTGTTATGGATCAATATATTTTTATAAAGTATCGACACAAACCGACAAGCTAAGTCTGCCGGTTGCCAAATTTTTTAATATTTCTTCATGATTTTCACCTATTACATTATCATTACTCGATATTTCCGACCGAATTTATCAAATATTTTTTAATATATCCGATAATACCGTATATTAATCATATATTAGTCCGACTTTCCTAAGACAATCCCAAAAGGATGCTAACTATATTTGCTTTACTTTTCAGCGTATCATCTCTTCTTCTCATGTAATAATGAATATCAATAATGAGTAGATGGGGTCTGTTTGGTGTTAGGTGACACAGTCCTTGCTCATTAATAATGCGGGTTATCTAGGCAACTAAAAAAATGGGATTAGAAATAAAAGATAATTATTCAAATAATTACGACATTTTGAATCGTAACAGTTATATACGTTTTAAGATATTGACTTTTTTAAATATAAGTACTAAAAGTTAAGAGTTAATTACATTATATGTCCCCAAACTATGACCCTCATTTTAAATTGGTCCCTAAACTTTTAAATATTATAATTTCATCCTCAAACTACAAATCCCATTCTAAATTAGTCCTTAAACTTTTGAACATTATAATTTCATCCCTAAACTATGACTATTTCTAAGTTGATCCCCAAACTTTTGAATATTCTAATTTAATCCCCAAATTCATCCAAATATGTAATTTGTTTCAACCATAATTGAACCCAAATTTTATTTTCCCCCAAACATATAATAATATAACTTGACCTAACGGTTTTATTAACAAGGAATGTGATTGGTGTATACATATAGTTTGGGATAAAATTGGAATGTTGAATAAGTTTGGGGACCAATTTAGAATGAAAGTTGTAGTTTGGGGATGAAATTGAAATGTCCAAAAGTTTGAGGACTAATTTAGAATGATAGTCATAGTTTGGGAATGAAATTGGAATATTTAAAAGTTCAGGGATCAATTTAAAATGAGGATCATACTTTGAGGACATATGATGCAATTAAATCAAGTTAAAATCAAACCAATTTTCCTTTTACTATGAATAAGATATAAAATAATACAAGAGTCTAATTTCATAAATGAGCTTATATACATACATTCAAGTATATGTCCTATATGAAAATTTATATACATGAACTTCATTTGTGTGTATATATATATATACATATAATCACAATATTATAATCATGTTTGAATGTGCATGAAGAAAAATAAAACAAAAGAGTAAATATTTTTAATGGTTCATATACCACTTGTGCCATTAACAAGTTCATCACTCATAAAATTTCAGATTAATAATGCGGTATATTTAGTGCAAATAAAAGAAACGTTTTAAGGGTTAATATACCACTTGCATCATCAACACATTCAGCACTCGTAGAATCTCATATTAATGTCTATTTTCCCTCGTTGAGTGATTGAGGTGAAGACCACACTGAATTTAGCTAATTTCCTAAATAATTCTCAGATCCCTATTTGCCAAAATAAGCCTAATAATGTTGGATACATCTCATTATCATCTTCCATAAATCCTGCATAATAGTTGCTTACATCTGTAATTTTTACGCTTTCATATTCGTAACTAATTCAACCGTATTCATCAATGCACATACTTTACCAACAAAGTTCAGAGCTCCAGCATATCCATTCAAGTAATGAATACAACAAAACCACAGATAAGATCTTTCCATAAAAGAATTCTTCTAATTTCCGAATGCATTGAAACAATTACATATGTGAAATAAGCATATATAAGATCAATAATGAGTGAGACCGCAATATCCAATCGAGTTCCCGATCAATAAATTCAATGAAGTCATATCCTCATCCTGCAACTTACCTCACTTAGCTGCCTGCCCGGAGCAATAGTTTACCTGAGTTGTTCGATTGCTTTGATGCTGTTCACAAATGTTGCACTTTTATCAAAACCCTCGAGTAAGAGGATCCTGACTGCCTCTATTCCCTGTTGAAATGTAAACTCCAACTGAAAGACAATAGGATGTAAACACAACAGTCAATATTTATTTACTTTTTCTTCTCTGTGGTTGTGCTTTTTTTTAATAAACTTTTACATACCTCCTCACGTTCTTGCTTATCAAAAGGACGAAGAACGTAATTAATAGTATCCATCCTCCCCTGAGGCCGTCCGATGCCTAGAAAAGTTATTGAACTTTTTATAACCAGGAAATAAGTAAATTAGCAGGCATTAAGGTATCGTTTTAGTGTTCTTAGCAACCTACCGATTCTTAAACGAGGAAAATCGCGGCTGCCTTTTAAACTATCTATGATGCTTCTCATCCTGGATGAATAGGTGAAAAAAGAAGTTAAAATCTTGCATATGCATCTTTGGTTATAGACATGGCATAACAAATGCCGATAAGAACATACCCATTATGTCCTCCATGTCCGCCTTTTGGAAGTAGTCTCAGTTTGGCAAAAGGCAAATCTAAGTCATCAAAAATCTGTCAAAGGGAACTGTAAGTGTGAAGGAGGGAAAGATTAGCATAGAGTCATACCAGAGAAAGAAAATTACCACAAGTACTTGCTTCAATGGAATCTTGTAATATGAGATGAGGGCCCCGACCTTCACAATGTATTTGCAAAACCATGAAAATGGCTATCAGAACTATAATAATTTCAGTCAGGTGAGAATTTGTCTCTTGAAAACGATATATAGATCCTTTTAGATAGCTCACTTACAGACTCACCACTTGCATTCATGAAAGTTTGTGGTTCGGCAAGCATGACTGGAACATTTCCTATAAATCCTGGAAAAACGAGCAACCATCTCCAATTAAGTATTGCATGATAGGATATTTTGAGTTACCTAACACATTTAGAAAAATCAGAACATGAATTTATTTGTAATTTACCTACTCAATTTTCCATCTATCAAGCATGAAATTATTAACTTTATTCACGTATTGATATATATATATATTAGCCCTTCTAGTGAGTACCCTAAATGCACTCTTTGAGGTCACTGTAAAATAATATCTTCATCCAAAGCATTTAAAAACAAGAACAAAGTTGTAAAACTATTGCAGTTAATATATTATATATATATATATTAATTATGAATACTAGCTCAAATCACATACATCCTGCAAACAGACTCCAATATATTGCAGGTTCGAAAGGATCTTTGGGGCGTAATAGCCACCTTAGGTTATAATTAGACAGGGAGGCTATGGGTAGATTAAGAAATTCAAAGTATATAAAATTAGTTTAATTAATATATTAACCAACTTAAAAAAGTATCTTAGAGCAATCTTCACCAAAACCATAAAACAATCAGTCAAAAGTTTCAGTTACAAAACAGCAGACAACTATAGATTAGTCAAAATGAAGAAAACTAATTAGCAAGTGAACGGCCGTACTAAACCAGTGCATTAAGCGATTTAAGATTATATTTAAGTATCCATTACGAAATATACCCTTCAGAGACCTACTACATACTTGTCTTCAGAATTAGAAGCACAATGTTATGATCAAATAGGATCAACTCAACCTTAAAGCAAAATATTAGCCCAAAATTAGAACTTGGAATCCTATAATGTCTAAAAGTAATCTCTTTTCTAATGAATAAACAATGAATCTGTTCCAGCAGACTTCATGCAAGACTTCAATGCATATTAAAGTTCATGAATTTAACATTGGTGAAAGTAATTCAAAGATTGAACAAAGCTAAATTCAATGTTGAAATAAAAAGAATACCTTCTCCAATCAGGGCTTTAAAGTTAGCTGTGTTAACAGAAATCCCTTCAGCCTCGGCTATAGCGTCTACCATCATAAAACCCACCTGTTATGAGAAATAAAAAATAAACAGTGAACAAAAATCGTTAGAAAAATTAAATTCGAAATAACAGAAAATCAAAATGAGGACGAATCGATACATTGTGGCGAGTGCCATTGAATTTCTTGCCACGGTTACCGAGGCCGACGATGAGCCAAGGCTTGTGAGGCGGAGACTGCGACTTGTTCTCCGGCTCCGACAACGGGGAATCCTCCGCCGTATGGGTAGGAGAAATTTTTGAATTTTTTATAGAAAAATTAGGGAATTGAGTCATTGTTCTTCTGGTTGCGGCAGAAAATTTGAAAGGACAATAAGATTTAATGAATGGGGAATTGAAATTTAGGAATCGAAAGATGGGTATTGATGAGTTTAATTTCATCATCATCATCATTATAATATATATATGTGTGTGTGATTAATAATAATATTCAAGGTTTGAACGTTTGAAAGAAGGAAGGGGGAAGCAGAAAAGGAAGCTAGGAAGAACTCTTCCAAGTCACCCCTTTGCCTTGCGGCTCAAGAGTCAAGATATTCAAAGGTTATCCTTTTTCCTTTAATTTAACCTTGTGAATATGTTTGCAAAACATTAACGGATAATGAAAAAAAGGGTCAAATTCTATCGGAAGTAGCTATCACTGTGTGGTTGATTCTAGGAGAAGAGGGAGTTAAGTGGTTGACCAATATATTTAATATTATTTTAGAGACTGCTAAGATGTCAGAGGAGTGGAGAGAGTCTACGGTGATACCAATCTATAAGAATAAAGGAGATCCCCAATGTTGTGGCAACTACAGAGGTACTCAGCCATACCATGAAGCTATGAGAAAGGGTAATAGAGGCTAGGTTGAGACAGGTTACTAGGGTTTCAGAAAACCAATTTGGCTTTATGCCAGGCAGGTATACTACGGAGGCGATTCATCTACTTCGACGACTTATGGAGAAATATAGGGAAAAAATAGTGATCTTCACATGGCGTTCATTGACCTTGAGAAGGCGTATGATAGCGTTCCCCGCGATACGATCTGGAAGACCTTGGAAACGAGACGGATCCCAACTGCTTATATCCGGGCGATTCGTGATATGTACTGTAGATCTACTACTACCGTCAGGACTACATTTGGCGACACCAAGGCATTCCCGGTGGAAATCGGACTCCACCAGGGGTCGGCTCTTAGCCCTTACATCTTTGCCTTGATTATGGACGACATCTATTGTGCGACACCAGACGGTGTTCCATGGTGTATGCTTTTCGCTGATGACATTGTCCTAATTGCTGAAACAAAAACTGAGCTGAATAGTAGACTTGCTACCTGGAAGACTGCTTTGGAAGAAAAAGGTCTAAGGATCAATATTGAAAAGACAAAATTATGTATGTTCAAACTTCAATGGAAACCAAAACGATGAAGATATAGAAGTATGCATAGAAGGACACATTATCCCCTCAAATGATTGTTTCAAGTACCTAGGGTCTATGATACATAAAGATGGGGGTGTAGATGAAGACGTTACACACCGTATAAAGGCGGGATGGCTAAAGTGGAGGGCTGCTACTGGAGTTTTGTGTGACAAGAAGGTGCCTCTAAAACTAAAGGGAAAATTTTATAGAATGACAATAAGACCAGCGCTGTTGTATGGATCAGAATGTTGGGCAATCAAGAAGGATCACGTAAGGAGGATGGAGACCGTAGAAATGAGAATGCTTCGATGGACATGTGGTAGGACTCTGTGGGACATGACACCTAACTCTACTATTAGGATGTACTTGGGGGTGGTGCCTGTATCCGAAAAATTGAGGGAGGGAAGACTACGGTGGTTTGGGCATGTCCTTAGATGACAACCGTCGGATGCGGTCAGGAGGGTAGAGTCGATTACAGTCGACGGTGTCAGAAGGAGATGACGACCAAGGCGGAAGTGGGAAGACTGCTTGAGATCTGATTTGAAGGAATTAGCCCTTACCGAGGACATGACCTCTGATAGGAAAGTATGGAGACTTAAGACCAGGGTAGTTGAGTAGTGCGGTTCACAACCATAGGGTGTAACATCTCTGTCTTCTTTTTAATGTCTTTGTAGTACTTTCCATGACTTCTACTTTATACATGTTTCTGTCATTGAAATGTATGAAGGCTTAGAACTAGGGTATCGGAATAGTGTTGCCTTAGTTTAAGAATTAACTCATTTGAATTTATTCCTTCTCGTAGCTTGCTATTATTGACTTTTGTGTATCATTTCTATTCATGTTTCCTCTTTTTAAATTTAGCTGGGTCTTACATTTTCAGTCTATATGCAGAGATTTCTATGTAGGGAATTATTTGCAGGGAATTATTTACAGGGATTACTCCCCATTACAGACGCACATATCAAGACTGCATATGAAGACTGTTCATCTATGTATTTATTTATTTATTTATACACGCATTTGCATCTTATCTTTATTTTTAATTTTCTGACTGCCGGAGGTCTTCCACGGAAGCTGCTCTTAACCTGGTGTTAGGGTCAGCCTACTACCCTACCTCCCCCTTATCCTATTGCATATGGGAATCAGGGTTTTGTTGTTGTTGTAAATATTGCATAGTCCATTATAAGAACGACTCTCTTAATCTAATTTACTCTATTCATGAAGTTAATATTTAAATTTATGACCTTACTTAAAAGGTCTAACCATAACTATCTCGGATATTTTTGAGGCCCTATGCAAAAATTTAAAAAATAAATTCATACAGAACGAAAGCATATTTCATTAATTTGAACAATTAATTTAATATTTTTATTAATAAACTATAAAAAATTAAAATTTGTAAAACACATTATTAATGACTAAATAATGAGACCATAGCTTTAAATATTAAAAGAGCAGAGCTCAAATTATAAGGATTAAAAGAACGAGCCCTAAGTGTAAATATTAAAGGAGCGGGAACAATTGCTCAGGATGTTCCTGTCAAGAGCCATGGGCGGAGCCAATGCCTATTGAGGGGGTGTCAATTGACACCTCAAAAAAAATTTCCAATATATATATAATATAATATAAACAAAAAAGTTTTGACACCCTTTAAAATGACACCTTAAGTTAGTTTAGTTATATTTTACATTAATTTATTGAATTTAGTGTTATGCATTAATTTATATGATTTTTTTAAATATCGTAATTTAAAATTATGACCCTGTAATTTGAAATTTCTAACTCTGTTCTTATCAAGAGTCGATCTCAAAAATGAAAATATAGGTTGATAGCCCACGTTATGTGATTAGACGACATTAATACTCTCCTATTCATATTTCAAACACTTCTCCCATCTCCTATTAAAAAAAACTGAAAATATAGATTTCACAAAATTATAGTATTAAGGGTCAATCAGTGAAAAATATATAGTGTATGGACCTTTTATAAATTTAACCATAAAAGACTTATAAGAAACGGAATAATAAGAATATAAGGGCCCTATTTCAAAAAATATATATATAAGGGCCTTTTAAACAATTTAACCTTAAAAAAGGGAAAACCGCCGTGAAAAAAACCTTGAGAAAAGCGCAGCAATTGTTATTCAACTGAAAGTTAGGACCGAGGCAGATCGAGTGAAAAAAATGGGTATGAACTCAGTGAAATGGGGATACGTCCGTATCATCACCGGCACCATTTTTGGTGGTATCCTTGGCTTCTACGTTATGCACCGCGTCGAGCTCAGCTACAAGGTCCCTTTTCGTTATTTCTCTGCTTCTTAATTTGTTTTATAAAGATTGTAGACTTTTGATTTTTACTTTTTTAATTTTCTTTCAACAGGAGAAGATGAAGGAGAGATTGAGGCAATATGAACTTGAATTGAAGAACAGGGAGAAGCTAGAGGAGCTTGAAGATTCTCTCTAGCTCTTTCTTTTTACAGTTAAGCCTACGCACTGCTTCTTTCTATTTGAAATCATTATGGTTGTGGATGATTAGTGATTACGAGTGTTGAATTTTAAAGGGGAAAACACACTCAATTAGTAGAAAAAGATTGCTCTATTCCTACTTTTAAGTGGTTTCTTTTATATTTTTCAATGAATTTATCAGAAATATTTCTGAGTATCTCTTTTCGAATTTCAAGTTATCGCTATTCCTATCATGAATTTAGTATAACAATGTCCATAATGCTTGCTTCTGACTGGTTGTACCGAGCTAAATATATTAGGGGTTAAAGGTTTATACTAAAACTCTGGTACATTGAGTTTTTTTATCAGCTGCAAGATCCAAATGTAGAAATAGATTACATTCGTGGAGGAGAAATCTCTTATTCTTTGCAATAAGGTATATAGGGGTTTAAGAATAATTTTATGTAATCAACAAGATCGAATGTTGGGATGTCGTAAAGATTGGTTTGATTCCTTTTTTTTGGCCCGTCAATGGTGCGCAAAAGGCAAGTGTTAACATCATTCTGCTTGAACAAAACAGAAGAGGGTCAGAAGAAAAGGATAAACGAAAACTGCATTTATGTCTTAGGTGAGCATAGGACAATGAACGTTTTCTTTTTGATACAAGTTTGAAGTGTTTCATTTTCACGAGGCTATTAATCGAACAAAGAGCAATACATAGAATAGGGTTGATCGCTGGATATGAGCTGAAACAAACAAGATTAGACATAACCATACCGCTTGTTATGCAGCATAGATGAAGTAAATGATGCATTCTTTACTCAATAGCTTCCACATCTTCATTATATTACTTTTGTCTTTTGGAAGTATACCTTTTTCCCTCAGGCTTTGGCTCCTAGGAGGGATAGAAGGGGTAAGAATGAAAATCTTACTAATCCGGGGATGATTAAACTTCATAACCGTGTCCTTACTTCTTAGCTAAACCATTAGATTAACAAGTTTTCTATCTTTAGCCATTTCCATTGTTCCTACTAGGCAAAATCTTAAAGCTAGGACATTACTTGCTTTGGGGTTTTTTTTTGCCTCGTGTTCTAAATTGATTCTCGTGAAGTTGTTGAACAATTGATTATGTTTTAGAGCAAGTTAAGCTGGGTTGTCTTTCTTCTTGTGGTATGCAATGGGTAAGTGAAGTTGGATTAGACATAACCAAACTGCTTATCATGAAGCATAGGTGAAGTAAATGATGCATTCCTTACCCAATAACTTCAACATCTTTAGTCTTACTTTTGTCTTTTGAAAGTATACTCTTTTTCCTCAGGCTTTGGTTCGTAGGAAGGATAGAAGGGGTAAGAATGAAAATCTTACTAATCCAATGATTAAATTTCATAAATGCGTTCTTACAGTTTAGCTACAAAATTAGATTAACAAGTTTTCTATCTTTAGCCATTTTCTTTCTTCCTACAAGGCAAAATCTTAAAGCTAGGACATTACTTCCTTTTGAGTTTTCATGAAGTGGTTGAACAATTGATTATGTTGTAGAGCAAGTTGTGCTTTCTTGTGGTATTCAATGGGCAAGTGAAGTTTCATTAAA